TGTTTTTGTGGTGAGCTTGGTGAGCTGTGTGGGAGAGGCAGATAAAACAGAAACAGACAAGCAGCTGTCACGTTCTCACTGAGGGATAGCACTACCCTAATGCACCAAGAAGGAGAAGATAACATCCACATTTAACCTGGAAAGAGTCCATTTCAGACCTCTTTTGGGGGGAATTACCCCATAATGCACAGCGGCACAGATTTATGGTATTTATTTGGTTTCTGTCGGGTGGTTGTTGAGGTAAAATGCGGCTGCTGTTGTAATTGGAGCTGCGTGGGGCAGCTGTACACACCTGCATCCAGCGTTAGGGAGGACCAAAGCCTGTGTCCTCTCCTGAACACTTCCTGCGTTCAATATCTAAATAAAAGAAAGGTCTTCACCTGTGTCTATTAGGCTTCATCCTGCTGCAGTCTTGATTGCGGTCAGCGGTGATCGGGCAGCTGCTACGACTCCTCCCGTCGATTTGGGGCTGGGAACATTTAGGCTCCGCCTTCTCCTGGGGGGCTCCGGACCAATATTGCCTGTCAAGGACGAAACAGTTCGGAGACAGGTTATTAATTTGATCAGTATACACTGTATCTTTATGGATGATATTGATCAGCTATACGACCGGTTGTATCTTGCTATGGGGATGATATGATCAGTATACACTGTATTCTTTATGGATGATATTGATCAGGGTAATACACTGTATCTTATGGATGATATTGATCAGTTATACACTGCTATCTTTATGGAATGGATATTTGGGATGCCTGTATGACAGTCAGACTTGTGGACATGATTGACGTCCTTTAGCTCGTGTTTTCTGACAGTTACGTGGTTGGTTTACAAACACGTTAGCGAATTTGTTAAAATGTGATATTTCTTAAAGGGAGTTTGGTGCAGGGAGCTTTTTAGTTGGATTCAAACTGCTCTTTGATATGGGCATCATTGTTAACGTTTAGTCTCACTACAGAACACTGCAACTGCATAAAGCTTCTTGATCAGGTTGCCTGGTTTGATTAATGCTTTAATAATTGCAGGAGTATGATTACTGATTCAGGATCAGTGTCACGATCATTAAACTTACTGGGTTTTGAGTTCTGTCTGCTGCTGTCCTCCATGGACGCTTTCCTCGAATAAATGAGGAGACGTCTTGTAAGGACACACACACACACACAAACACACACACCACACACACACAAACCACACACACACACACACATACTGATGAAGGACAGACAGAGGACTCGTCTTCGTTTCATAAAAACAACCAGTTTGTTCTGAGACTACAGACAGAGAGTAATGTGACTACTTTTAACAATAGATTCAGTAACTACATACGGTTAGTAATCCCAGTGTGTGTGTGTGTGTGTGTGGTGAGTGAGTGGTTGGAAATTTGGTGTGTGTGTGTGTGTCTCTATATGAGTTTCATTTCCTGTTCAGACAGGGGCCTGGATCAAGTGTGTTACCATGGTGACAGTCCACAGGTGTCACATGTCAGAGCTGTAACTTCTGACAGACATCATGTGACAGGAAGTACCTGCCTGCTGACATCAGTCTGACCTCCTCCAGGAGGAATTATTTCAATTATTGATCAGGATGTTCAACCAATCACAGAGAAAGAGGATGAGCCAATCAGAGGACACGATGACCTCTGACCTCCCCAACCAGATTTCTGTGAGTGTGTGTGTGTGTGATCCAATTAGAGAGCATATAGAGATGGTCGTCATGGTGATGGCAGAGACAGCTGGGTGACCTCTGGGTGACCTCTACAGTCTGTCCCAACAGCAGACCCCCACAAGGAGTCCTGGAGTCTCCTCAAGGACCAGAAGACGTTACTCCAGGACTCCTTGAACCTCCACCAGGGTTTCCAGGACCTCCACATGTTCCTCAGTGACCTTGGAACCTCGTGCTCTACCTGATGTTTCCTCAGACGCTTTATTAACGCGGCAGCAACCACACACACACACTCATCTCACACACATACATGCACACACACACACACACACACACACACTACAGCAACCACACACACAGACACATACACTGCAGCAACCACACACACACACACACTGCCACACTGCCACACACACACTGCAGCAACCACACACACTCACACACTTACGCACACACACACAAAAAAAATGTGATATTTCTTAAAGGAGCTTTACAACAACCTGTCAGCCAATCAGAGAGCAGCCTGTGTCCCCATGGTTGAGTTTGAGCAGCGCTGCAGGAAGACAGTTTCAGACCGTCTGACAGACAGACAGACAGACAGACAGACAGGTGTGCACTCACAGGTAGCTGTCTGTCTTCAGGTCTTGGTGCAGAGCCACAGACAGTCCAAACAGACTTCCGTCTCCGCCCGTCTTCAGCAGCGGGAACGAGGTGTCGAGGTTGGACGCCACACACACACAGACCCACACGCTTAGCAACACGCCTGTCGCCATGGTGACGCACACCTGAAAGAACAACAACAACAGTGTCAGACAGCTGATTGAGGAGTTCCACAGGGCTCCAGACTGGGTCCTCTGTAATATTATGATTGATTATCTGCCAATATCCAGTCCTCATCTGATACTTGTATGTTCATTGATTACACGCACACACTGTTTAATGATTATAGATTATTGATCGAATCAGCTTTATATAGAACATAGCTCTAGAGTTTATACACTGTTTATTGATTATAGATTATTAATTGAGTCAGCTATATATAGAACATAGCTCTAGAGTTTATACACTGTTTAATGAGGAGATGTTACACATACAGTAAGTTGTGATCAATAATTGACACAGATTCAATCAATCGTTCTTATTCTCACATATTTTCTTCTGTCATTTTTTAAAAACAACAAAATATTTAATAAAAGCTGGTGAATGTAAAACAATCATATTTCTCTGTTTACTGTAAGACAGTGAGAGTGTAATCCATAGATATTGATCAGCAGGTTGAACTCTAATAAAAGAGAAGAAGATGAAATTCAAACCTTTTCCTGTTTATAAAGATCAACTGAATGTTCTTCGTTCTCCGCTGGTTCGATTCCCTCTGAACTCCGTCTGACTTCTGCTCCGTCTGCAGACTGATTTGCACACGCTCAGATCGCTCTCTCTGCCCTCCTCCCTCTCTCCCTCGCTCTCTCCCTCCCTCTCTCTCTCTCTCTCTCTCTATCTCTCTCTGCCCCCTCCCTCTCTCTCTCTCTCT